GGGATTCAGCTATAAGGGGGTGGTCACATGCCCTGTGCATGTGCATTTACTCCCTGGCTCCACCATTTAGAAGGAGACTTCTATAATTTTATTTAAAACTGACTTCTGAAGAAAGGCCTTGTGTGTCAGATATTGTTTTAAAGTTCATGTCCGCTTCTGAGAAATGTGAAAATGAAGAATAGGCTAACGTCATAGCTGTTGCTTTGGTTGGTAAATGACCAAGTACCCTCCCCCCCCCCCCACACACACACATACACACAAAATACAATGTTTCTTCTATTAAATTTTATCGAATATCTTTGTTGTATTTTAGCAGGAGGTAGGATGATTCTTCAGAAATTCTTATTCTCCTTTTATATTCTATTACATATTCTGCAAAAATAACATAAAATAAATAAATAAATAAATAAATGTATAAATAAATAAATAAATATTAATTTAAAAAAATTGAATAATCCGGGTTTCATATAGGATAATAAAATTTATTCATTGCATGCTTGAAAAAAATGTTTTCCTTATTTACATTACAAATTTGACAATATCTTTTATAATTTTGCATACAGTTATCTAATTCGTTCATACCTAATACCTGCAGTGTCCTTGAGCATGTTATTTAAAGGGTGAAAAAATGGCTTCCACAAACACAGCTGTTACTAGTCACGTGATCCACTGTCAAAACAGTTGTTCTTTTCATGAAAAATGCCTTTGTGTTTTTCTTCTCTAACACAGTTGTATTGCTACAGGGCAGGTAGATCAGAGGCTGATATAATATATATAGGATTCCAATATCACGAACAAAATGACACATGATTAGGCTTTAATTGGAGACCTACATGTTTTATTTTTATGGATGTACACAGTGTGCATGTCTGTATATATTTGATACTGTCCCAGTTGCCATTATCATTTGTGTCACTGCTGGTGGCACTGTGCACTTATCTGTATATTTTTCACATAAACTAAATAAAAGGACAATCCCATTACTTATGATTCTCAAACCAACAGGGATTATTTTAAGGACTAAAATACAGCTCAATTAAAACACTATCCTGAAATGCTGAAAAACCATTCTTTGTCTGTATCTGAATTGCTTCTTGTATTTCTCCAGGTTGGATGCAAGGCCATAGTGGCTGCCTCAGAGTTCAAGACCCAGGACTATTATCAGATGCTATTCCAGATAAACCATGAACTTGCCTTCTGTAAACCTGGCCAGCTCAAGAACCCGCAGTTAATATGGACTTTAATATCTTTGCTTGCTTGTATAATTTACATTTATTTAATGAATTTTAAAGTTTTGGAAGTTTTGCATCATATTCAGAAATTTTCCATTTTGTAAATCCTTGCACAGTTGATGGGTGTTTTTACCTGCAGCTAGATGTCTGAGACCTAAAATGTGTTTGATATTAAAAATGGAACTTATTTAACATTTTATTGATGGACTAAAAAAAATTAAGGCTTTTAATAATTGTAAGGGCTATTTATTTCTTACAAAGGCTTTGATTTTCATGGGTTGTTTTTTTTTTTGCAGTTTGCCAGAGCTTAGTATAGTGATTATGCTTGGCAAAAAGAAATTCCCGTAAGTATATATCACATACAACCATGCATATTGATTAATTAGTTTACTTTACCTTATGATAACTGTCTCCCTTGCTTTTATTTTCTATATGCTTAAATGGTTATATATATATATATATATATATATATATATATATTTTTTTTTTTTTTTTTTTTTTTTTTGCTTTTGTTAATGCTGCTGATTCTCGCTTTTATGACATACCTTAGAGATACATTGCATATAGTAAATGTCATGTTGGATATTTTTTTGTTCATGCATCAGTGTATTTGTAGACTAGTATACTAGTATATGTACAGAGTGATCTGTAGTCGGAAGCATTCAAGTTACAAACAGTGCAACTTTTCTCACTTCCTCACAACATCTATGCCGCAATTTTCAAAGTAGCTTTATACTTCAAACATGAACATAAAAAACCTCCCACAGTTATTCACCAGCGAAATACTGCATGCAAACTTTACTAGCATACTGGTACTTCACATCTTCTGATTAACTTATTAATTAAGTAAGTCAGAACATAGCCTGTTTGTAGCTTGTTGTCACTCTGTAGCTCAATCATTGTAATTTACTGTGACTAAATGGGTCCAGAAAATGCAAATGATTGAAATGACTTCACACAATTCGCACGGCAGGGGGACATTTGCATTTGACGATGTACTGTCAATGGGCGGGAGTGATGAAGAGAAAGAGTTGCAACGCCTGCAGAATAAACTCCAGTTTGACCAGCCAATTAACATCCAGTTTACATCTGTGAGTGCTTTCTCATTTTCATCCAAAGCTTGACTGATTTTGTCAATATCTAACCGACCTTTTTCATACCCCATACAAAAGTCTGTAACAAAAAGAAGGTGGAATGCATGACTGTTTTGAAGTTGTAACGAAAATTAACCCAGCCTCACTGCAACAAACTTGACATTTAGATATCATGAAAAATTAGTTTTATCATTATAGGTGTATCAAACTTTGTTTTGTTAGCTTTGAGTTAAACTAAAACTTTATTTCAAATCAGTATTAATCTTTTTTAAAATTATCACTGTTCATTATTGGCCTTTTAATATATATTATTAACTATTATTTCATATCTAGGTTTAAGGGTAATATATGATGTAAGTTGCAATATTTTCTCTTAGGATTCAAAAGAATTAGATTAAACTTAGGTGCTAGTTTTAAAATATTTTAGTGACACTGGCTAGAAAGACATTTTCTACTCTATGCAGCATATATTGTATTATTGTTTGATTAGAATTACAGTAAGATATACTCATTAATCAGAAATATCCTTTTTCTTTTTTTTTCTAACCATTTGCTCCATGACCCCAGGGGACTACAGGCCAACCCAAGGGTGCCACCCTTACTCACCACAACATCGTGAACAACGCCTACTTTGTGGGCCTCAGAATGGATTACCACCGCAGGGTGAGATATACGCATACATGCAGCTTGTGTAATAGACTGTGTTACCAAGTATGGCTATTTCTTTAAAAATTTTTAAATGCTAATTTTTCTTTTTTTCAGTATTTTTTATTACAAAATTTCACTCAGAGATTCAAGATCACTGAAAATACCTTCTCACATACATAGTCACTGAGCACAATTAACAGAGTAGTTTTTATCTATGAAAGTCCATAATTTTGCAAAATAATTTCAGTTATCAGTTTTTGTCTAAAGCAAAAGTCTTGTATCTATTTTAATGTTTAGAGCAAATTTTACACCTTAACCAATATTCATACAAGTAATAAAACTGTTCAGCTATTGCTACTACCTTGTATCTATTAAAAAAAATTCAAAAGATTTGCAGAAGAGACAATTAAGTCATTTGGTTCTTTGAATATAAAAAAAACTTGAAAACATTCTATTTTGCAGGACACCAGGATCTGTATTTCCCCTCCTTTATACCACTGCTTTGGTATGGTGCTTGGTAGTCTCATGAGTCTTGTCCATGGTGCAACCCTGATATTTCCTTCTCCAAGTTTTGAGCCAGAGGCAGCTCTGAAGGCTGTTCACGATGAAAAGTAAGGGGTGTCAGGACTTATGTAACTGTGTAGTTACATGACAAGGTCTATCATCTGCACTGTGAATATTGAAAGGTCACTGTATAGAGAAGTACACAGCAGGTTATATTTATCTTTAATGTGTGTGTGAGGGGGTGGGGGGTATTTTTGGTCTGGCTTTGGACATTTTGATTTTCTTGTAATATACATCTGGTGGTATTCAAATATTGACAGCGGTGTCATGTGATATAAATAGCTATTTATTCTGAGTGATTGTGAATGGTGCACAGATCTATATGTATTGCCTGCAGCTGTAATGACAAAAACCACCCATGTCTGTTCTGTAAAACTTTCCCTTTTATCTGGCTTAAGACTTCATACAAACAATTCAGACAAGACGTCATACAAATGCAGAGTCAAATGCAAATGCAATTTCTGTTCGTACGATGCACAACTTCTACTGCAGATGTACTGCACTTTACGGCACCCCCACCATGTTCATAGATATGCTAAACCACCAGAACTTCTCCAGTTATCACCTTGGAAGCTTGTATACAGGTAAGTGGATAAGGGACCATGCACAATTAATTTTGTTGACCTAGCTAATGGCCAATGGGGAAATTTGCTAAAAGTAATCAGCTTTACGGACAAAACAAGCCTCCTCTTGTTTTCAACACAGGCCCCATTGAGAATGAGAAGATCCGAGTGCTAACTGGTCCATGTCTCAAACATGGCAGACCTACATAAAAGGAAAACCACTTAATTCTGAAATGGTTTCTCTGCCTCCCCCCCCCCCACACACACACACACACACACATACACACACACACACACACACACACGCGTTGTCCCTGAAGGGGCACAGTAATTAAATCTGGACTCCATTTGACCAGACAAGTGGGAAGGGGTGTGGTGTGAGAGAGGGAGAGACCATTACAGGATTAAGCAGTCTTTCTTTCATGTAGGGTCTGCCATAATTGAGCCTTGGACCAGTTGATACACAGATCTATTCTGTATGGCCCTGTAGTTGTATAATCATCAGCTTTTCTTTATTCTAATCAATGCCACTGAGAGTCCCCTTGGACTTTGTGCCCCTAAGCAAGGTTGACTACCAGTATATTCATTTTGAATGGTCCCCAAAGGGTCTGGTCTGCCTAATTAATGCCCACAAATGGCCACAAATGACCACATTTTTAATGGCCACAAACATAAAATGGTTGAGAAATCAGTTTATATATATTAACTGATTTCCCAACCATTTAATGCTTGTGAACATTTATGGTCATTTGTGGCCGTCAATTAGACAGATCATCCCCAAGTGCATGTGCAAAGAGAGAAGAAATTCTGTTTTCTAATTCTCAGTCTTCTCAAAGTTAATTATTCCAGATACTGATTAAATGATTTACATTAAAGCTAATGATCAAATTCAACAGTTAATTACTCAAATTCTGTGATTTCCTCGATTCTTTTAAAATCAATTTCCAAGTTGTACATGTCATATTTTATATCTTAGATTTCACAAGATTGAAGATGTTCTTGATTTTAGGTATTATGGCGGGCTCGCCTTGTCCATCTGTCATTATGAAACAGGTTGTCATTAACATGCATATGAAGCATTTAACAGTAAGTTTCCTGGTGCTGACTGGTATTTTTTTTACAGCAGTGTTTTAGATAAAGGTTAATTTACACTGTATTGGTGCCTGGTTAGTATTGGAGGAGTTACAAGATCTCGACCATTTTCTGAAGAGAGAGGAGATGTAAAGAGGAGGGGCATAAATTCAAGAGTTTGTAGGGGGGGGGGGGAGCAGTAAGAGCATTTTTCTGTGCACCAATACTTTGTGGTTGGCCTAATCTTACACAGGTATCAGGGGCGGATTGAGGCAGTCTTCTGGAAGACGGCCAGATTTTTAAAATGACAATGACAGGTATCTATTTCTTTCTGTCAGAAGACAGTTAAAAACGGAGGATGAATCAATGAAAATAAGTTGGAAGACTATCAGAAAATATTTCTGGAATCCGCCCCTGAGTATGCTACCCCTACTATGATGTAAATGTTGTTCATCAATAATTACAGGCATCATTGGCGGGTCCCCATGCCCATTAGCAATTGTGAAACAGGTTGTAAAGTACATGAGTTATATTACAGTAAGTCAAGGTCAAGAATTAAAAATACATTAAAATGCCAACACAGTTTTAACAAGCACCTTTGTTATGTAGCACTAATGCTCCCGAGTTTTGAGCTTTATTTTTCGGCGTTGTAGAGGTAGAACAACCGTACATGTGTACGAGCTAACATACGTGTAATTAAGTTCTCATTGTGTCATGGGTCTATTGCATACAACTTGGTGGGAGGACACTGGTCTTAATTGTTTTATGTACAGGTTTGGAGTGAGTTCTCCCTCAGTTTTTAGTTTTTCTTGTCTTAATTAGTTTCATGGATAGTTTCAATTCTATTAGATGTTCTCCCTAACATTAAGGATAAGGTTGCTCCACAGGATTTAACATTTTTCTTTCATTTTTTTCCTTTGATTTTTCTTCATTTTTGTTAGAGTTTGTGACGCTTTTTCTTTATTTTTGTTAGGGTTATGGGGTATGTGACGCATGCCCGTAGCTTGGGGGGGGGGGGGTCCGAAAGAACCGCCCCTTTTGTCAGGAATTGCCATTTTGTCATTTGGGTAAAATTTTATCTAGGTACACATAAGTTTCATTGTAAAAGGTCTACTTTTTCAGAAAAAGAACCCCTCTTTTGAATTTGCTGGCTACGGGCCTGTGACAATAAGTCATTTTAATTAAGACTATCACTTACATGTACAGTATATTACTAACAAGTATAAATTCGCAACAGCTAGGCACACTGTACAACAGTATTTTTATTGACAAAAAACCTTGAGGAACACTATGTATGAGGACGAAATGATGATGTAACAATAAACAATATCTAAGCAGTACTGTTTTGATGGCATTATTTTTCAAAATACCCATTTTATCAGTTTGCTACATACAGTTAGCCTTGTTTTGTTTAAGGTTTGCTATGGTACTACAGAGAATAGTCCAGTGACACTTCAAAGCTTCATGGAGTCACCTTTCGAAAAGAGGGTGTCCTCAGTGGGGAAGGCTTCCGCCCATGTGGAGGTGAGAGACAAAATTTTGGACAAAATTTACTTTAATAAAACAAAATGGCAAATACGGAATCTGCACTGTTCAGTTAACAAATAGTTAATAGAACTAATCATTAGTAAAACAAGGTGGAGTGGGCAGCAAGCATTATTTCAAACATGTTTTGCCTCTTTGATGAAAAAAAATTTCCTCTGAGTGAAAATTTGATCTAACCTCTTGGTTATTTCTCAAAGTACATCCACAAACATAGTGAATTAAAAAAAGTCTTCCTTTTCAGAAAATAAGCCCCGTCTCAGAATTGCAAGATTTAGGTCTGGCCTGGTTTAAAAAGAGCAAGACATGGTATTTTCCTATACATATCCCAGCCACTTTAAAACTCCAACATAGCAACTAAACCAGTAATGAATACATCTGTTTGTTTTAGCTCAAAGTGGTGAACAGTGAGGGTGATATTGTCCCTGTGAACACAGTAGGAGAGCTCTGTACAAGGGGGTATGCCACCATGCTGGGCTACTGGGGAGATGAAGACAGGACAAGAGAGGTGGTCAAACCAGATGGCTGGTATCACACTGGGTAATGTGAGGCTATTCTAGATTATGGCTCCATTCAGAACAGGGGACTTACTAGTCTGAGGGTCAACTATGACCAACCCACTTGAATACTTCCCAATGGGATATCTATTCAGTGACTATTAGCAAGTTAGACGGCAAGCTTTGTGGTGGGTAGCTATATTTGACCCTTAGACTAGTGTGTCCCTTATTCTGAATGGAGCCTCATTCTGAAAGGCTGTGTTCGAATTAAATATTTTTGGTACAGCAGGATCGATCCATCTCTGCAGAGATTCTCGCTAAGGGGCTGTTATTGTAATCACCTTAATTGTCTGACTCACTTTTAATCTGAACACAACCTAAGCAACAACATTTGCAGGTAAACAGGGAAATATGTTGTCCTATTTGCCCGCAACTTCTGTCATTTTAGCAGAACCCTTGATCAGTGCCATCTAGTTACAATGTATCGTCCAAATTCTTCCATTAAAGCATAAAAAACACCAAAAATAATGTAACTCTAATCATGAAGTCAATTTATTCACCACAAAGAGAGTATAATTTGTGAATTAATTTTTTGTATCAATGTCATCATTTTAGAGATTTGGCCTTTCTAGACGAGGAGGGCTATGGTCATATCACGGGGCGTTTGAAGGACATGGTCATACGAGGCGGCGAGAATATCTACCCTCTGGAGGTGGAGGAGTTTCTCTATACTCACCCTAAGATTGAGGACGTACAGGTGGGTGATTGAAGTGCCAATTAGTAGGGCTAGCAGTATGTATACGGTGAAACATTACTGAAATAAAATGTAACTTACAGCAAATATATCAGCAATCATAAAAAGATACACAGTACGCATTTTGAAATTTCCCAAAGTCATACTTTTGATGCTTTTTATTCTCTTTAAATTCACAAGTGAAAAAGAAGTTGGATGTTCAGCCTGTTGACTATTATTAGAAAATCATTTTTAAAGTTTTGAAGCAATATATGTGTCATCTTTGTTGATATTGAATCATAATCTTCTAGTGCAAGTCCTAGACATACATGTATTTCAGTGAAATGTAATGAAAATCCCTATTATATAATTGACAATACCATCTTAAGCAAAATTATTTAAGTCATATTAATGAAATGGCTGTGTATTAAAGGTGATAGGAGTACCTGACGAGAGACTGGGGGAAGAGTTATGTGCCTGGGTGAGGTTGCACAAAGGGGAAACTGCCACTCAGGAAGAAATTAAAGAATTTTGTAAAGGAAAGGTAGGAGGGATTCCGAAATAGAAGATGATTTTTGTAACATATGTAGATTGGTCATAAAAAGGAGTTATTTCAATTGCAATTTTGTGAGGTTAACAGACATTTTTCTTGGAACCTATAAATTTTGAAATGTATGAATCAATAATAGCGATCTCCTTGGAACGTGCGCAAAGTTTGTGAGAAGTGACACATTTTTGCCATGTTCAAATCTTCATAACATGGCACAATCATGTTTTTTCCTACATTTTGTGATGAAATTTAGTAAATTTTTCTCCAAAGGCTGAGAAGGAGCATTTGTTTTATCAACAAATGTCTTAGAGCGCATTCTCAACGAATTAAGCCAGGCTTTACAAAGCCGGTGACCTAAAAATGGCGGACGTACATGAAAGAAAAACCGCCTAATCTTTTAATAGTCTCTCCGCCTCTCACACGCCTCACCACACGTCGTCCCTGCGGGGTACAGTAATTAAATCTCGGCTCCGAACATTAATATTTCCGTGAATATCTCTGGTAATATTATCTCCTTAGATAGTCGATTCATTGCTGCTCTACGGGCCAAATTATTCCTTTTTCGTCTCTGTTTTCAAAGATAATAAAACAGAAGAGTTTTTTTCCTTCGATCGCCTTCAGCCGCCATGCCTTCTTCACCACGAGTTTAACTGATGAGCATGCGCACTTAATATTTCTCAGGTAGCTTCCGCATGGCGAACGGAGCCGAGATTTAATTACTGTACCCCGCAAGGACGACGTGTGGGGAGGCGGAGAGACTATTAAAAGATTAGGCGGTTTTTCTTTCATGTACGTCCGCCATTTTTAGGTCACCGGCTTTGTAAAGCCTGGCTTAATTCGTTGAGAATGCGCTCTAAGTCCACAGCATATATCATTGATATATTAGTATAGTACACATACGAAATCGGACTTTTCCATCATTTTTTCCAGATATCTCATTTTAAGATACCAAAGTACATCATGTTTGTGGACAGTTTTCCTCTGACAGTGACAGGCAAAGTTCAGAAGTTCAAGATGCGTGAACAGAGCACAAAAGAGCTGCATCTGGACCACGTGATACCCCACTAGGACAGCATTTCAGCATCTTGTAAATAAGATATAATACAGGTACATCTATGAAGATCTACTATAAAGATGTAATATTGGATTACACATTACGTCTTTATAGTAGGTCTTCATAGATGCACCAGTACTATAACTTATTTACTCCTTTAAGATCTATATGGCGATTTGATACTAATCTTAAAGGATCTTGTAAAAAGACATTATCATGTCTAATTAGGTCATGACTGGAGCACTAGATAGATTCAGGGATTGAAGTGAAGGTTATAAAAAATACAGAAAATGTTGCATTATATATTATTTTTATATTATATTTTTGATAACAGTAAGAGTAGGATGGGGAATTTTGTACCATTTTGCATTTATTCAAGGTAAACTAGTAACATTTTTAGCTAAATCAAGTGATTAGGACTTATTTGTTTTCATGGTATTCATAATCCAAGTGCAAACTACTAGTGTAAAGAGATCATTACTTATTTAATATTGTTAAACCTAAAAATGTTATAAATATGTTTTAACATAGGATTGTTTATACGGTCTCCATGTACATTACAACAGCATTAACAGATCATGATTTGTGAAGGGTTGGCCAGCAGCAAATTTTTTGTTTCTAAACAAAGAAAGTTTTGGTACAAGTACCATATATATATATATATTATTATTATTTTTTTTTTTTTTGTGATATATTTTGCACCCATAACAATGTGGGACAAAAAATGCGTGCAATGAAACCACTAAGAAAATGAGGGAGGCTGCAGAAAAGAATTATGAATGCTGTCAAGGAGGATATACAGAAGATAAAGAGTAGAGGAGGACCATATGCCAGACCAGCGTGGGTGGTGGTGTGTTACTTAGTTGCTATGGCAACCCCTAAGAATGAACAAATCCAAAACCCGAGAAGTTTGTTCTATATATGCCTGTTAAACTCTTCAAAGTTGATACAAGTGACATTTATTTAGAAGACAAACTGTAATTTTATGTAGTTTTACCTTGTACTGACAAAGGAAGTGGAATAAAGGTGCATTTTGAAAAGTAAATTATTGAAGATGTTTTACAAGCAAGAGCAATAACGAATTCAAAAGATACAGAAACTGATTATGACATGGTAGTTTTGAACATTTTCCCCTTGACAATTACCTTCCAGCAAATGAAACAATATTGATATACATTATTCTCAGTGGTGACCATGAACGTAGGACTAAATGGAAAAAAAAGGTTATATGCTTGGGAGAATCCTAGAGACCACATGAAAAATTGGATCGACTTAATTGCCATCAATGACAGATTAAAGAAGGTTATTAAACGACGTGAATATGAACCCAGGAGCAGATTGTGAGAGTGACTTTACGTAGTACATAGTACTATACTGTGTCGACCCGTCATGTACAGCGTCGCCCCCTATGGTGAATAAAGTTTACCTCAAGACATATCAGTGATCATGTGCTGGCACATACACTAGCTTTATTTCAGTACAAACTAAAGAAAGGATGTCCAGTCAAAATATAGTTAAGTTTGCATGGTTCTGTATTCTTAAATGTGCACATGGTCTGTCCCCTCTTAAACTTCTTCACATGACATGCACATTTAAGTCCGTAAGTGCCTCTGTGTATACAGCATGTATCCTGTATCCTGATGCCTCTTTGTGTGCAGATTTCTTTGAAGTTGATGCTCTTTGTGTGTGTGCCCGGATGATTTTTTACATCCACATCTTCCACATTTCACTTCTTCACTCATGGCAGTTTCCCTCAATTTCTGATGTAGCTGTCACGTTACATGCATAAGCGTGTGATAAAATGTGCCAGACCTATGTCTCAATCAATCTGAAAGAATAAATTAAAAAATAACAGTTTGATACTTGAATATAAACTAACTGCATAGCCCTCCTTGGCCTTAAAGAGCTGCTACTTTGGGTTATAAATACTGTATGTTTTATGATAAGCACTGATCATTATTACAGTTGAAAAACTAAGCTGAAACGGGCTACCTAAAAAAACAACTTCTCACTGCTTGATAGTCTAACAAAGAAGCCATTCAGAATGAGAAGAGCGGAGTGCTAGCTGGTCCACGGCCTAGATATGGCGGACCTACATGAAAGGAAGACGGCTTAATCCTGTAATTGTCTCTTGAGCTCCACCTCTCACACGCCTCCCCACGCGTCGTCCCTGCAGGGGCACAGTAATTAAATCTCATCTCAATTCAACCGGTTGAGGCACGTTGCCATTGCCACATTTGCAATTTAACTCTTTTAAAATGGGTTCACACACCAGTTAGCGAACGTTCCTGGTCTTTTTATTCTAACTAAGCAGAAGTGCTACCACTTCTACATAGGGTGTTATAAGACCTCACTTTACTGTACGTAATCTGTGTAGAATGTTATTGTAAGGACTAATAAAAAGGTAAAGTACTTGGAGCAAATATAAATGTTTTGGAACAATATATGGAGGAAAGAATGACGCTAATTCATAATGATAATGAAATATACCTTTTCTTATTCAATGCTAGTCTTCATGTGAAAAAAATAATACTGGACACTGTCCTCTTCTTAACCTAAAAGTAATAAAACAGAATTTAGCATATCATTAATTATTGAACACACGATTTGACAGCTTGTGAACTTGTTTCCACGTGTGAGTGACAAAAAATTCAGAAAGTAGAAGAATCCACTAGACCACTACTAGCACCGAACCACGTGCGAAAATAAAGACATTGGGACTGCAAGTGCACAATAAATGGAGAAAAAAACTAAGAGGATGAAAGATTGTAAAAGTGTACCCACTCAACTATACTACCTGAAAATGCATACATTGTGCACAAAGCAGCGCTAGCATCGCAGTGCAGCGGAAGTCAATATATAGTTCCTCGAAAACGAGGCAATATGGCCGACTAAAGAAATTGAAGTCCTCCTTAGGTGCTAGTGTTGTGGTTTTATACTGATTGCAGCAAAACGGTGAGCCCTAGTATTTAAAGATTTATCGAGATAATTGTAACTGTATCCTGTCTTTTTATTGCAATACACATATAACAGCAATATCCTTTAAATTTATTTGTGTTGTAGATTATTTTACGTCTTGAGACGTCTGATTTCCTTCCTACCCATCCCATCGCAAATATGCTGTTAACGATGATACATATCTTTGTATCCAATTAAGGAATAACAGCATATGACTGGTTTTATTTGCTGCAAGTAGAGTTATTTTTCCCATTGAATTTAATATTGTCGGCCACAATATCTAGTCCGTAAAGACAGTCAATGCAATTTATATATATATATATATATACTAGTACATAAGATTTGTGAATCACAACTGACTTGGAATCAGAGCACTTGCTGTGCTTGTAATGCTAATGACATCGGAATTTTTCCCTTTGCACACAATCTAACATTTTGTAAAAAAATATGCCAAAACATGTCCTGATGTGTTAAGCCCTTGTAAAAGTTACCTCATTGTGTGACCTTGCATTAATAATTAATGGCATGGAGTAATATTGCCAGTGCAATACAGAATTCTTCAATGGGTGTGTGGTTTTACAGAGGCATAACTAATTAACTGGTCGTTGAGCAGATTTTCCTTATCCACAGTACTGTTGATGGCAATAGCTGTTGACTTTAAAACAGTGTTTGACTTGGAGACGTGAGAGGTAAGCTAAAGATTTGATGGTNCATGGCCATGGCAACGTCAAATGCCATTTCAAGTGTAAGATCCTTGGTTGCTAATAATTTCTTTTGTGTCCCTTCATGAAGCAGACCACAAACAAATCTGTCACGCAACGCCTGATTCAAAAAGTCTCCATACTCACAATGTGTTGACAATCGTCTCAGTTCTGATAGATATTCACTAACCTTCTCACCTTCAAGTTGGTTTCTTTTCATGAACTTGAATCGCTCAGCAATTACCAAAGGCTTTGGAGCGTAATAATTCTGTAAATGGCCCTTCAGCTGGTCATAACTCAGCGTGCTGGGTAACTCCGGCGAAGTTAAACTTTTTAGCTTTGCATACGCTGTACTGCCAATAACTGTTAGTAACACTGCAGCTTTCTTGTCATTTTCTATGTCATTGACTAAAAAATATTGCTCTAACCTCTCTATGTAGCACTCAACATTTTCTTTACTATCGTCAAATTCATTTAGACGGCCAATCCTCGCCATCCTCGTCGCCAGAATGTAATATCTTCACAACTGACTTTATTACTGAACCATGTGCTTCTGTCTTACATGCTCACTAGAGGGCGCACGTCATGACAAGCCCAAACTAATATACTACAGATGGGTCCTGACTTGCAGCTGACTAAATATTGCTGGCTGTCATTTTACATTTATGTGTACCTTGCGTGCATCTTTCATGCTTTAGCACATATACGTGGGAGATATTAGAAACTGAAACAGGAATGCCAAGACATGAAACTGTGCTATGCCTTATACTGAGGCAATTGAAAGCGACCAGAAGACAGATGGTTTCATCATTCATATTTTGAAGGTACATTTTCTTATTTTTTTATTTTAGGTAACCTCAAGTCAGTTAAAAGTACAAAGGCGAAGACTGCCATACTATGTCACCATGTAGTGCTGCAGTCTCTATGGAAATGGGGCTGTTAGCCTATACTTGAGTCACAGTTGGGCCCAGTGTCACATACTTACAAACCCTGGCATAACTGCAACCTTATTACTGGGTCTCAGAACCACACCAGAGCTTTGTGGGTGCATACTTAACATTCATGCATGTGGGCCTTTTTCTACTGGCAGCGTCCACTTCCTTTCCATCCCCTGGTATCTAACAAGCTCCTAGTAGACCAGATGAAACTACAGCAGCTTGGTCTTGTCTTGTGTTGAGCACTGTTTGCATCAAGTGTTTCCTAGCTTGGTTTGTGGCACCCTCTATATATGGTGTCACCATGAGGTTCAATGCTAAGGAGATGGCAGCACTGGCCAAGGAACCCAAGGACAAGTTTGACCAAGAGGGGGTCCTATGGGTGAAAGAAAAACAGGAAGGATTATTCCGAAAAGGGGAAGGTAGGATTTTTGTCTCTAATTAGAATTGAAGAGTTGTAAATTAAATATAGATCTGATTTCTATCTGAATGCCTGTTGGAAATTTGTTTATCAGAAGGGTTATGTAACTTTAAAGGAGTTGGACTATGTACTGTAACAATAAATTACCAAAATACAGTACACAGTATTAAACTTGAAAGCACAGCTTAATTTCAAAAATTGTTGCGGTTTGTGAAATTTAAAGAAAATATGTCTCTAGTTTCTTAGAAGTTTCACTTTCAAAACTTGACCTCTCAAGGTATGAATATATAACTAAAGACCATCAGATTATAATATTATGATTTCTGAATGAGACACAGCTTATTTCATTCCATGTGCAAATTTTATGCAGAATTTCCCTCAAGATTAAATGCCATCTTATAACATACATTGTTTTTTTGCAGTTTATGTGCAGAGATGGTGCCGACTGCGTGGAAATGTCCTGTTTTACTTCAAATCTAAAGAGCCAGTGAGTATTGACATATTGAGGCTTTGAAATAACTGTAATTGTATAGTCTGAATAGCAGACATGTTAATAGAAATCTTTTGTTCTCAAAAAGATATTTATTATAGATATTCATTATAGATATTTATCAGAGGCATTATTTTTTTATTTAAGTTGCTTTTTTCTTCCTGCAGACATCAGAACCTTATGGTGCAATTATTCTTGAGAGATGTACAGTTGAACTAGATCTCAAGGAAGAAATGCAGTTCTCTTTCCAAATTGGTAAGTCAGTATAAAAGTGCTCACTTTACACGTTGGTTAATTAGTTTCTTTTGATCAGCCTTCCATCTAATTTACATTTACTAATACTTCCAAGGCAGTTAGAAAATTGCAGCTAATTTGATTTTGAGTTTGACTAAATTGATCATAATGGTAGTGCCAAAGCTATTGAAAATGAATTGACTTTCTGACCTCTTCTAACCAGTGTTAGAAATTAAGGCTGGACCGTCTGCCCGGGGCAGACAACTTTCAGAACAGGCAGAGAAGTTTTCCCACCCGGCAGGCATTCTGGCCAGCTAATTTCCAAGAAGGCTGAGCTTTCAGTCCAGCAACTTATTTTCCTAAGAGGCAAACACTGCTTCTAACAGTGCCTCTGAAACCTCTAACCCACTACCACCAACCATTCAACTTTTACGTCACAATTTTCTCTTTTGATGCTCTTTAAGCATTTTGTTTGTTTCTGCATCTCTCTAATATATTTACTTGATGCCTTGTTATTTTTTTCTTGCACAGTGTTTGAGGGTGATGACAGAGTCCAGTTTTTTGCTGCCCGTACAGAAGAAGAGCGAGATGCATGGATTGAAGTCCTCCACATAGCCAGCTATGAGTGTCTCAAGATGCAGTTGGAGAGTCTCCGTGAGCAGATCAGGAATAAAACTGGGAAGGATCCCATTGATGACCCCGACCCCACAGTACTAGAGGATAACACAGAAACAGGTAGGACAAATCAGTACTCTTCTTTTGGTTTTAAATTTTTTTCTTAATTGATGAAGAGATGCCCCTGGCACACAGTGAAGTCTACCTTTGATGCATCTGCATCATAAATTACAGGGCTCACCCAAGCCAATAGGCTGTGTGTGGGGACTGTCTATGAAATTGAAAGCTTTTTTTCAAGTGCATCACATATTTTGATTTGGCTTTGTAAAATGTAATTTAATTTTTTTAAAGCCAGATTTGTAGTTATCTGTATTAGAATTTATTTTGACTTAATATTATCTAGCTATTTGCCATTTGGACTTTGACCTCAGTGAGCCCAATTAATGATGATGGATTTGACAAAACACAAAATTTGAGACAAACATTTATCTATAACAGGTGCATTTGTGCTACTTTTGTGTATTATTGATTGACTGATAGTTTGACCAAATATCTTCATTCATATGGTAAACTAATAATAAGGTTTTGTTTATGGTTAGTTACTATTGAAATACAAAAAGAAAAAAAACACATAGGGACATCATCATCATTGGCAAATTAATGCATATACATGGAAATAAAAAAACAATGGTGTGTTATACAGAAATGATTAATGTTTGTTTAAAAGGAAGTCCTATGCTCCTGAATATTTGTATAAATAGCATATATATATATATATATATATATATATATATATATATATATATATATATATATATATATATATGGTTAATGGCATAATTTAGAAAGTGAAGAAATCATTCTCATAATCAGTCTATGAAACCAATTTTTGTCTGAAACAAAGTAAACTGTGAGTTTAATAGGATAGTTTTATTTAAAATCAAACTTACCTTGTTGTAAGCAGATTTTGTTGCACTTCCTGTCCAAGGTTTTAACCTGACCTTGCTTATATCATATAATTATGTGTGATACACGTGAGGATTAATCTGATATGAGATGATTTGGTGACCAGTGGAGATTTTCATATCTCATGATAGCCAAACGTCTGCATTGTCATATTCTATAAGAGAAGTAGCCATTGTCATTTATATTAAATTCCTCATTGAAATGTATTGTCATGCAGTGTTAAAAATGCTGATCTTTGTGTATAATATAGTGTGAAAAGTTTGAGTGTTTGCTTATAGCTATGTGTATTTTGTTGTTGTCTTGATATGCACAATATTGACATTCTGTTTGGAGATTGCTTACCTGTATCTACTAAATATACTGGGGAAGTAGCTGTAATTGGTTAGGGAAAAGCATTTTGTCATTACACTATAATTTATAGCAATTGTGCTGATTTTCAAGGGAGCTTGACAGGCATGGCATGGTAGGTTAACAAAATGAGGGATTCAAAATGTCAGTGAAGATATATTGAAGATAAGAAGTGCAGATAAAAGTGAAGACTGCTTACTTCAGCAGTAAAAAGTGACAGTGAAC